AGGGGTTAATTTGCGGAAATCAATTATATTAAAGTTGGTAAAAATTATTTTGCTTATATCTGCTTAGTGAAATAAAATTACCAAATGACCTGTCACCACTAATCCCACGGAGTACCAATAGTACTGGATTTAGTAGTGACGGGGACAGTTCACCCAATTGAGGGAGGGTGGGAGATGCTCTTCAAACTAGGCATGAGACATCATTTTTTTTTCACTAAGCGGATATAAGCTACGTAATTTTTACCAACTTTAGTATTACAGTTAGTCAAGTCAATAAACATCAAATCATTTACTTCCAAATGGGATATTAAGAAGTTAAGAACACATGACAGTATTTCACTTTATAATACTTTACGTAAATTGTAGAATAGCACTGGAACATTCTGATGAATGGATCGTTTTTATCAAGACTTTCAACGTTATTCCACCACTACTCCATTGAGTCGTCAGCGCCGCCTGCCACCGACATTGCAATAAGCGCCTGGCTAATTTATACCCTCATTGTGATCGTGGCCGAACACCATGCGTCAGCGCCTTTAATAACCAGTAACATTTGCCTCGTGGCTGTATTCTAATGTTTTAAAAAATAAACACACTTTTTATACAATAAATATTTACCTTTTATATAATTATTCAGTTTATTGTTTGTCCACGATGAACTCCTAAACTACTAAACTGATTGCAATGAAATTTTGACCACTGTGTGCAGTTTGGTCCAGCTTGAGAGATAGGATAGTTTTTATCCCTATAAGTGACCCTCAATATTCTTTATTACGAATTTAATAATTTTTATAGGACACGGGGTCATCGAAGAGCGCAGAACAACGTTTGCCTGGCCAGCTAGTAATTACATAATATAATATATAGCAATTTTTTGACGGTGTATACAACTCTTTATCTACATTACTGTGTCGTTGACAAGGGAGTGTTGGTGTTACTAATATTTAATACAGGTTTCATATCAGTGTGTAAAATCAAAGTGAGCTAGTCGACGTTATGTACCTACTGGCTGGCACTTGAATTCGATTTCAGAACAACCGCTAGACAGAGTGGTAAGAGATGCAAAAAGTCAACGGTTTCAAGGGAGTTACGACCGTTTTTTGCGGCCATTCATTAAAGGAAGACTATGTTCAGCAACTTATGATGGGCCGTAATGATGATGATGAAGCCTTAATTGACTGTGGTTTTTTTCTTACTATCTAAGTTAAACAACCATAAAGAAATGTTTCATAAAGATTAATTTTTTCCATTTTCTAACTTTAGTTATCACTAGCTGTTTCCCACGACTTCGCCCGCTTGGAATTTGTTACGATTGGATTTCATGGGTTTCGATTAATTATATATATATATATATATATATACATTGATATTACATTGAGTGTAATTGTAAAAATAATATTGTCAGTTCAATGCAAAAGTGAGAGGAAGTGGAAATGGGCTGGCTATATAGCTTAAAGAACCGACACCGAAGTGAAAGAAAGGTTCTCGAGTGGCAGCCTTATACCGATAAGCGAAGAGTTGGATGGCACTAGATAGAATGTCGTCCTGGTAACACGTGCATGGCGTCGAGGAATGCAGCTGGCTCTTGTAGCAACACATAGGAGAGACCTATGTTCAGCAGTGGATTTGTGAAGGGCTGTAATGATGATGATGGTTATGATAAAACTGAGTCATAATCTTTCTTTGAAATTTTTTTACCTCAAATCCACCCCTGTGCAAATATCACAAAACTTTAAAAGGAAAGCATAGTCTAAAGTTAATATGTGTTGATTTAAGATAACCGACAATTTTAAAATTTCGTTCGCGAGTACCACTACTTCAAGTAGTGCGAAGAGTTAGTTAATCAATATGTTTATTATGGCCCGTTTTCACTTTGATTAGTGATTAGTGCAGGTGATTAGTGCAGGTGCTTAGTGTTTAGGAGTAAACACGTGTGGACAGCGATTGATTAGTGCAAGTGATTAATAACCTGTGTAGTAAAGTGATTAGAAGCGTGTTCTATTTTTTTGCGAGTGGACTGCGAGTGTCACGCCCCGCGCGCTCTTCTTTTCCCCTCACTCGCAGCATGCCTGCTGCCACTAAACACGTTTGGACAGCAGTGCTAAGTGTTTAGCGTTTAGCGTCGGACGCTCGCTTCTGTTAAAAAAATGTCCATACTTCCTGGTCGACTGCTAACAACTGAATTTACTAAACACAGCCACTAAACATAATTGAACACTACTTACACTATACACCTGCACTAATCAACCGCAATTACTAATCACCTGCACTCGCACTAATTAAAGTGAAAACAGGCCTTTATTTATGATGTTTTTACACATGTTCGACGCGTCACCGTCCATAGCTGTGTGGTAAACAATGCGGTAAACAAAATTTCTTAACTTACATATTCAAACTAATAGTTATTACTAGTTTGTACAAATGATTGAAATACCGAAGTCATTGATCGAGTTTTTTTGATCAATGACATAACCCAGGTATCTAAACGACCACGTATTGTGCATTGTCAGTTTTTGTAAGTTTTACCGGTCGCTTGACTATTTATTTAATGTGAAACTATAGTAAACATAATTATAAAAACCAAGTCAAGGTACAAATCTAGATGGTTTTATTTCATTACTTAGCCTGTATCAATTAACTCAGTTCAATTCAGGGGTTCTCAAACTTTTTTTCACTAACAGATTTAGTATTTTGTCTCATCCCTAGATAGTCGAAATAGAGTAAAATAATACAAGGTAGAGTTTTTGAAAATAGAAGGCAACTTTGTCGATATGACCTGTGACCTTGGTGATCTCCACACTTTTTTTCAAAGCATGGGATGAGGCTTCACACCGCTACTCTCATTTCTTGACGCAAATTGATACACTCAAAATCCCGTTTATTTGTACCCGCGAATACATAAGTTTAGTTTTCGGAGAGTGGTTAACAGGAACGACTCACGGTGCGGCGGCCCTCTTTACTCTGTACGGCGTACAAATGCGCCGCAAAGCACACTTTGGGTACCCCTGCACTACAACATTGTTTACACGTCCTAATAGGAGTTTCAAGAACAGCATTTATTGATTCAGAGTATTTCGCTCTGCGGGAATTGACTTTTCTACATTAACACTTAAATAGTAGACAGCCCTATGCTATAAAGGCAGATGTTTTTTTAAACTGCTGTCTGTCTTGCTGGATCAGCCAAGTTGATTTTCGAGACAAAAATTCTTGCTAGATTTCTTATTGGTTCTTCCCAGGACAGATGGTTTCTCTGAACCAATGGTAAAAATAAAGAATAACTTTAAATAATAATTACTTGTCATTTATATTGAATAAACGATTATATTATTCTATCCCATTATTTCTACAATCTCCAATGATTATAGAAAATTCTAAAAACGAATCTAAGTGACATCAAAGTAACCGTCGCATTCATTTTTACCACGTTTTTATTAACTAGCTTTCTAGGTTTTTCGGTAGAATATTTCGCAATTGACCTTAATGTAACTTCCCGATGAGTTAGAAACTAAACTTAAAGTTTAGTTTCTAACTCATCGGTCATTGCATTGTCATAGCTCAGAGCTGGATGACAATGCAATGCAAAACTCACTTTCTTGTCTGTCTGTACGTTTGTCTGTTGAGTACAAATTTAGCAATCGATTTTAAGCTGGATTCCCGATGAGTGAGAGATTTTAAACTTAAAAAATATGGCAATAATGGTTGCCTTTTTAAATTATTATGTTTCCTATTATTTTATAATTATTATGATCTGTATTAGCAATAGTGATTGCAGAACTACAGCTTAGCTAGTCCTGCTGGATAGTATTTATTTATCTATACCTTATTGTACACCTTAATAAAATGGTTAAAAAGCAAAAATGCATTTTGGCATTCTCTCATGGACAACCTAAAAATAAAAACATAAAAAAATAAAAACATAGTAAGCGCACTAGCTAAAATTCTGTTTTTTCTTTTAATTTTGCTTGTGGTTCACCTGATGAAAAATGACTACCACCGCCCATGAACAACTGCAACACCAGAGGAGTTGCACGTGCATTGTGTAAGGTCTTAGACAGATATAGACATAGGTAGATGACAGTATAATTATAGGCTATAATGTGTTCTAGCTCAGACCTCAGAGGTGACAATACATCGACAGCCCTCTTTGTTTGAAGTTGGCTATAAGTATCCATGGGCTGCAATAACTAATTAACTTTAGTTTGACTGTAAGTTCACTCGGCTCTTCAGTTTTATAAAAGTTTGGAGCTTGCGGCAGCCCTAGCCGAATTTACTGCTTATTAATCAGGCGAAGGAATAATAATGTTTGGACTGTAATATAAGAATAACAACTCCTGCCGGTACTTCTGAAATTATAATTATGTACTCGAAGATCAAATGGTCATCTTGAGGTATTACTTAAATCATGTTATATAATTTTTTAACGAATTATTAATACCCTATTTGTACGTGGTAGAGCCATGCTACAGCTATATTAATTATGTAGTTGTAGCATGAACGGGTCGGCTCAACCGGGAAAAGACCACGCTCTCACAGAATACCAGCGTGAAATAGCAGCTTAATGCAGCATTTGTGTTTCGTATGGTAAGTGGCATTCTTAGGCCATCTTAGTACTCACGGCTGACAACGCATCTGCATTTTGATTCGTAAACGAGGATAGATGTAGATGTCTATGGTCCACAGCAACCACTTACCATCAGGTGAAATGTGTGCTCACTTGTCACCCTTATCCTATAAAAAAATGCTATGGTACAAATTAAGTTGCTTTGGTAGGAAATGTCAACAGAGAAGTTCCGAAATAATTTAATTTAAGGTTTCATTTAATATTTAGTAAAAATTCAATAACGATCTATATACAAATTTCATTTAAAGGAGCAGTTGTAAAATTTTTAATAAATATTTTTATCAGCTGAAAATTTAATTTCCAACACATAAAACCTGCACCAAACGGATTAAAATTACATGCAATAACAATTCTATAGAATTCCTTAATTAAGAATAATTTATCTCAATGAATAACCATTACTTGTTTCATCAAGATAGACGGGAATAGCGAAGAATTTTTTGCATTTAGTTTTCTTTTTCATTTTATTATCTTCTGGAAGAAAGTTCCAAATTATCAAGTCTTCTCCCGACGTCGCCGTCGCTGTAAGTTTGAATACAGATGTTCAATACATATTAGGTACAAAATTCATCTAGCTGTTCAATAACCTATGAGACTTTAGGCATAACATAATAGAGGAACAGGGGAATGGTCTTTAAAAGAGCAAGTTCCTGGATTTTGTAAAGATAGAAACATTAACGCATATAATTAGTATTATTAAGTGCGTGGTTGTGGACTATATCGCACTTAATTTAAAATTATTATATATCTGCTTATTTTCAATTACTTTACAATACTGTGATAACGTGCGGACATATGTTTAAAGTTTATACATAATCGATCAATTATTATACTTTTAATTACATACATACAATAACAGTGGTAGAGCCACGCGGCAGCTTTTGCTGTCGCACGGATGGGCCGGCTCGAACCGGGGTGGTACCACGACCTCACAGAATACCAGCGTGAAGTAGAGGTTTACCTCTGCGTTTCGCTTGGTGAGTGCAGGTGGCCGGAGGCCCTTTTTACTGGAAATGAGGCATTCCATCTTAGTCCTCACGGGTGACAACGCATCTACATATTGATTTGTAACAGAGGATAGATGTAGATGTCTATGGGCCGCAGCAACCACTTACCATCAGGTGGACTGTGTGCTCGTTTGTCACCCTTATCCTATAAAAAAATAATACTAATGCTTTCCTGTTGTCATTAAATAATTTCCACGATAAGAATAAGACAGTGATCATTCCTAATTAGACAATATGTAACTGTACCAAATTTAAAACGATATTTCAACAACTATTTCTTCTGCGGCTGCAACGCGCCGGGTACTAGCTAGTTAAAAATAAAATTTAAAACGACATCATGACAGTCGAGGATAAATATGATAGATAAAAAAAAGAAAACATGCAATATTAGAGTTCAGTTACAAAACAGTTGGAATAAAAATAACATACTGTAAATGTACAATATGTAATGTATGTAAACATGTATGCATGTTTCTCAAAAGTTTTAACAAATCTTTAAAATAACATAATACTATATTAAATTACTAAACTAAGAAATTAGTAAATAATAGTCATCCCGTGGGTGTAGTAAGAGTCGATAGAGGGAAGTGAAACAGAACATGGGCAGCGCCATCTACCAGATAACAACTAAAAATAACAAAAAACAGCGATTATATATCCGCCTGCCAAGCGAGGATCCTATGGCAAATATTCTCTTAATGAGCCAAATCTATGGGGGAAGCCTATGTTCAGCTGTAAACTTTTGATAGGTTGTAGTAGATAGGTGGGTTTGGATACTTGTTAGATTTTAATCGAAATCTGTTCAACGGCCATTTTAAATGAAATTTCATTACTAGACAAAAACTATTAAAATTGCTCTAAAGAGTGGCAAAACCCGAAATGTCGTCTTATCCGGTTTACATCATCCGGTAATAAAAACGGCGTATAGTTAACGCCATAGTTCTAGTAATTTAATCGTTACTAGCTGCTGGACCCTGTTAAGAGTAAATCGAATTGATTCTAGAAACTCGAATGTTTTAGCAACTTCTTAGATTAGGTACACTACACTTTTTATAAGATGTTTATACTATTGCATACCTTATGCGCGTAGGTATGTTCAACCAGCGCTTAAAAATCAAGATTCTAACGTTTTGTCGCATGAAATCGTATCTAACACTCACGTTGAACATATAAATGATATAAAAAGCACATTGTCAGAAAGATAAATTATTATTGAACTAATAATTTTTTTTAAATAGATTAGTTGCTATTTTTATATACCTATAAAAAGTGGTTGTAAATTTATCAAGTCCGTATGGAGGGGTAAACACGATAATTTTTAAAAATATCAATTGTTTAACTGAATCTATTTTTTAATCTCTTCACCTATCATGTGGAAAGCCATAGAATGTAGATGGCATTTTAGTTTTTTTTTCGGCTGAGAAATTTCGAAATTTTCAGTGTTTTCAGTAGCCTTGTAATAATTTTATTTTACTAAATACACTTTGCCTCACAGCTCACTCGCAATTCGGGCTAGACCTCCGTTGAACTATATCGTTTGCTTACAGTAGCGGTAATAGGCAGCAAAAATATCGAACGCTGTAGAAATAGAAAATATCCTAAAAATCAAAGATAGTGAGGCTGGTGATAGCGAGGATGACACTGAAAGTTCTTAGAAAATCAAAATCTTAACAAACTAGCAAGTTATAAGTTTTATTATATCTTTTCAAAACAGTGTCCATTTACAACAATACATCGCTGCATCCGATGGAACCACTGAGAAAAGCACTTTGCCCACTCGTCCTTAGGGGTCTCTTCGGCGGTGTTTTGAAATGTAGCCACTGCTTCCTCGGCGTCCATAAAATAATATATAAAACGTTTTCTTTGAAGATTTTTATTTTTTATTTTCGGAAATAAATAAAAATCGCAAGGTGCGAGGTCGGGACTATAGGGTGGGTGAACCAGAAATTCCACGTCTGACGTCGCCAAGTAGTCGAATGTTTACTAGGCGGTGTGCTACGAGGAATTGTCGTGGTGAAGGAGGATTCTACTGCAAGATCGTTTCTACCGAACTTTTTTCAAGACAAATGGCAAACAATTGTTTGTGTACCACTCTGCAGTAACTGTTTTTCGATCCTCTAAAACAATTGTTGCGTAATGATCTGTCCTTCCGAAGAACGAGGCCACCATCTTTTTTACCACGATTCGACCTATCTTCATTTTAGTTGGCAACTCGTCGGAAGGAAACACTGAGACAGCAGACTGTCTCTTAGTTTCAGGATCATAAGAATCATTTGAGTCACCTCCGTTAAATTTTTGAACCATTTCACGACACAAATCAACACGAAGGAGTTTTTGGTCCTCTGTCAAATTATGAGGTATCCAACGGGCACAAAGCTTCCTGAACGCTAAATTTTCATGGTGCATTTTGTACACTTGACTCATACCGATGCCTATGCTTGTCCAAATCTGCTGATAAGTTACTCTTTTGTCAGTCTCTATCATATGCTGCACAACACTGATGTTATCTTCAGTTGTCGCCGTAGATGGCCGTCCCTCACGCAAATCATCGGTGAGTAATCATAATAATCATCGTAATCGTCGTAAATCGTAATAAGAGTAATGTGCGACCACGTTTAAACTCATTAAACTAGTCGTAAATGGTGCCACGAGATGAGGCTTCATCTTGAAAGGCCAATCGAAGTCTACATCATATCTTTCTTGTTGATTTAAATGACATCGAAAGTCATAAAAAATCATTGTGTGAAAATTTTCTCGCGTTAAATTCATGCTGACGTGACACAGAAAATTTTAAATTTGCTTTCAAATCGTAAACAAATGACAAATTAATAAAATACATACACAATAATATTGGCAAAGAGTTCCATTCTGAAAATTTCATCTTATTTTTTATTATATCGTTTAATAGTGGCCAGTTCTAAAAACTTTCAGTGTCGCCCTCGTACATATTTTACCAAGGTTATTATTTTAAATTTTTATAATCATAGATTTTTATTACAATACCTTGTTTCGCTAAAATTACGTAGTATTTATATATGTTTTTATAGGAGACGGGCCAAACAAGCATGTGGCTCACCTGATTGTAAGTGACTACCGCCGCCCATAAACAACTGCATCACCAGGGGAATTGCAGATGCATATCCGGCCTTTTTAAAAAGAAAAGGCACTTGAAGGTCCCTTATTCGTATCGGTCTGGAAAATCGCTGGTGGTAATCGATTCCACAAGGAAGTTGTGCAAGGAAGAAAACACCTTCTAAATCGCACAGTGGTGGACCGCCAATTATCTAGATGGTATGGTGAAATTGAGCGTCTGGAATTACTCCAAACAGTTTCTCAGAGCGCTCTCCGTGCTAGATGCGATAAGATATGCAAAAAGATGCAACATATCTACGCAGCGCCAGTGAATCTGAAAGAACTCGCTCGTCTAGGTGCTCCTCTAGGTACCGCATGAGCTTGCAGTTAATAATGGACTCCATTATTTTCGAGAACAAGGAGGTGATGGCGATAGGCCTGTAGTTGGACGGATCTGAGCGGTTTGTGTTTTTTTTGCGTCCCTTTAAAAAAAAGGATACAATGGGCGGACATAATGCCTAAAGGCATTTTCTACCAGTCAACCCATGGAGTGGTGAGAGTTTGTCATAGGTGTAGCAATTAAAAGAAAAAAAAATAGAAACTAAAATTAATATACATTATATACTATAACAAAACAGATGATGATATAATATTATAAGCCAATGCATATACATCTTTATATATAAAAATTACGTGTCACGTTGTTTGTCCGCGATGGATTCCTAAACTACTGGACAGATTTCAATGAAATTTTGCACACTGTGTGCATTTTGGTTTGCAAATTTTATTCCGCTAAATGACCCTCAAAATTTTTTATTGTAAGATTAAGGATTTTTATAGGAAGAGTCGTTGAAAAGGGCAGAACAACGTCTGCCTGGCGAGCTAGTATACACACACACACACACACACACACACACACACACACACACGTATATATCATCATCATCATCATTACAGCCCTTCACAAGTCCACTGCTGAACATAAGCCTCCCCCAAAGAGCATTAATTATTTATTACATTTATTAACACATATTCATAATATAACAATATTTATATGCTAATAAACAAATATAAAAAATACACATATATGGATATATAATATATATAAATATAAAGTTAATACATACATATAAATACGACTAATTAACAATATTGTAATTCTAATGATTCTTCAGTAAATGCTCGCGTACCTTCTTTTTATAGGAGTATGTGTTAGGTGCTTTTCTGATATCATCACGCAAGAAATTCCAAAGACGTGCAGCCTGAACAGTGAAGGAACCATAGAACTCGGTTAGATGAGTAGGAATATAAATCTTGTTATTAGAGGAAGATCGAAGAACCCTATCATGAAAAGAAGAGAGATATTGACAACGTCCTTTGAGGTAAGAAGGTAAATATGGATCATTTACAATTGAAAAAAGAATAAGTATTATTCTGGAGTTGCGCCTTTGCCTTATGGTAAGCCACTTAAGCTGAGATCTATAATGAGAAATATGGTCATACTTACGCAGACCAAAAATAAATCTAATACAGTTGTTGAACAGGCGCTCCAGCTTGTTAAGAAGTTCTTGGGACAAGTCTGGGTAGCACACAACCAAAGATAGGTAAAATAAGAGTTTGGACAAGCATGAGCTTAGACTTAGTAGGAAGGAAGTATTTGAGACGATAAAGGGAACGTAAGGTGGACGTAAGACTTTCCGACTTAAGTCGGTGACCTGCACTTTCCAGTTCAGAGAGCTATCAATATACAGGCCAAGGTTTTTAATAGACTCACTAAATGGAATAATAATACAATCATAACAAGTAGGAGGTAAGTCTGCTTGATTAACCCTAGCCAGCATCTTTTTACTTCACACTAAAATCGCTTGGCATTTTACTGGATTCACAAAGACTCCATAGGGCGTTGACCAATCTGTAATTGTGTTTAAATTATGGTTTAATTTGTGAATTCCATTATGTTGTTCTTCAACGCCACAATGCACATATAGCTGCAGATCATCGGCGTACAAATGATACGAGCAAACAAGATTATGAGTGATCAAGTTTAGAAAAACTGAGAAGATGATAGGAGAGAGTATACCGCCTTTCGGTTACCTTTTTAGGGATCGGGTGCACGAAAGCTCTTTTCCATGAATTCGGGACAACGCCTAGAAAGTAGGAGTATGGAAAAAGACGCGTTAGAACCAGTGCCAACTTGCAACAACTAGACTTGTGTATGTCCATGGAGAAGAGTGCTTTGCCTACTAAGCACTGTGTGAATCGCACATCAGGCAGAGAGCACTCACAGTGCGGGATGGTCGGCGGTGTGTTCCCACCGTCGTCGAGAGTCGAGTTGGATGCAAAGAGAGCGTCTAACAGACCGGCTTTCTCCTTTGCAGCGTGGGCCAGTGAGTCATCCTCCCTGTGCAAAGATGGTAGTGATGGCTTACAGAAATGTCCTTGAACAGCCTTGGCGAGAGACCAGGATGTACGGGTTCTCGAAGTAAGGCAAACTAATTTCTCGCCAATTCTGCCAATGTGCTCATTCTTTGCCTTAACTATTACTCTTTTGAAGGACCTGGAGGCGAAGTTATACTTCTTTTTAAACATGCTGGTGTTTACATCCAGAGCCGACGAAGCCTCAACCCAGTCCCGATAATACTCCTGCTTACTGCGTAATGCAGTCTTACAGGAGCGACCAAACCAAGGCTGAGATCTGCCTCCGATGGGTACCACGGATGATGGAGTAAATAGTTCTATTCCCTGTAGCACCACATCAGTGACAGAGTCAGCACCAGCGCTGGGATCATTTGGCAAAAATCAAACCCGTCCCCATGAAAAGGATGCAAATCCGCAAAAAAGACCGCATTCTGTCCCAATCCGCCGACCTGTAATGCCAAATACGGCGGCAGCCTGCAGAACACAACCACGAGGGGAGCGTGAGTGGCACAACACTCCGGAACAGACAATGGGCCGAAGATTCGAGAGAGGTATCGACAGAAACCTGATATCCATCCGGATGAGAGGTCAGCAAGAAGATATATAAATATACTTATACGTTTTGGACTTTATGTAGTGACCTAGAGGTGCACTTCAGTGAATGTTACTGGCACTCCTCGAATACTAGAATTAGGTGTGCCGTGTTTGGCTTCATTTTGTTAGTTATGATGAGACTTTACCTCCGGACTTGATAGAGTAACCTGAAGGTGTACTTCGGTGAATGATACTGGAACTCCTCGAAGAGTAGAACTAGATACGCCGAGTTTGGCCTCGTTATGTTAGTTATGATAAAACCTTACCTCCGGACTGGATAGAGTGACCTGTAAGTGTACTTTGGTGACTGCTCCTGGAAGTTTTCGAAGAGTAGAACTAGGTGTGCCAAGTTTGGCCTCGTTTTTGTTATTTATGATGAGAACTGACCTCCGAACCTTATAGAGTGACCTGAAAGTGTACTTCAGTGAATGCTACTGGAACTCCTTGAAGAATAGATCTAGATGTGCCAAGTTGGCCTCGTTTTGTTACTTATGATGACACCTTACCTTACCTCCGTACTTGATGGAATGACCTGAAAGTGTACTTCGGTCAACGATACTGGATTTCCTCGAAGAGTAGAACTAAGTGTACTGAGTTCGGCCTCGTTTTGTTAGTTATGATGAGGCCTTACCTCCGGATTCGATAGAGTGATCTGAAGGTGTACTTCGGTGAGTGCTACTGGAACTCCTCAAAGATTAGAACTAGGTGTGCCGAGTTTGGCCTCGTTTTGTTAGTTATGATGTAATCTTACCTCCGAGTTTGATAGAGTGACCTGAAGATGTACTTCGGGGAATGCTACTGGAATCCCTCGAATAGTAATAGTATTAGTTATGATGAGACCTTACCTCCGGATAATAATATAATATACAAAGATAGTAATAATTATAAGGCGTTTAGTGAAAACTTGTGTAATTAAACTACTTACTTAACTACTTAATTACTTAAAACCATGTTATGCGTAAATTTTTAAAGTAGTTTAAAATTGCGTATTGTGCATATCTTAAGCGCATTAAACATTTTTAATGCGCTTAAGGCATGCACATTTAAATTTACCTGTAGTTTTATTGTAATTTTATTTAGTACTGGTACCTGGCGCGTTGCTACCGCAAAAGAAATAATTGTGGAAATATTGTTTTAAATTTGGAAGAGTTTAATATTTTAAATACGAATGACAATACGTTCATTGAAATTGACTTTCAAATAAATTTTTATGTACTTAACGCGCGCCATCTATTGTAAGTTAATTGTACTATACCTATAACCTTCACCAAGTGCAAGCAATAAGTTGACTAAGTTTTACAGCAATCTCATGAACGGTGTGGCAGTGCATAAATACGAATAAGCAAATATTAATTTTATAATTAGATTATAATAATAGGATATGAGATGCAAAAAGTAAAATTAAATTTTAATTATTTTAACCAAAAAATTATTATTCACCCACAGAAATATAAGAAGACAAATATAATAAATGCAAAGGTATTTCAACTACATATAAGAATTTTAAATCTCTGTTGGGAAAATAATAGCAAATAGTAAGTGAAGCGAATTTCTTTAACGGCAGTTTTTAGGTCCCATTACTAAAGAATCGTGAGACTTGGCTTGAGGCAAGATTTCCCCTTCAGAAATAAATTTCCAAATAATCTAACCTTACACATACTGCGTAGGCTTTATTAGAGAGAACTGTAGCATGATGCGTCGCAATTTAGATGCATTGTTATAAGGCCACAATTTTATCAGCAGAAGCCTAAAGAAAGTGTGACTGTGTCTGTGTGTATGAGACTGTTCTAATATAACACATTCCTAATATATCAAGTAAAGAAGTCTTTAATTTGAAACGATTACAATTCCCATTAAAAGCAGCATTTTCAATGAAATCAAATCCCACAAACCTTGAAAGTACGACTTAGGGACCTACAAGAAAAGAGCCTACTCATTTTTAAAAGGCCGGCAACGCATCTGCAATTACCCTGGTTTTGCAGTTGTTCATGGGCAACAACTGCAAACTGATGTTAACATCAGGTGAGCCGCATGCTGGTTTGCCCCTTCTCCTATAAAATAAAGTAACAGGATTACGTTTGGGTACGGTATGATTCACCATGGTCTCTCATTTCTAGGGCTCGAAGTGTGCACGTTTTCGTTGAATGAAGTTATTTAAAAATCAAATCATTTAAGGTAGTCTAGAAGTATATTACAGTTTGTGTTGCATTTATTAGTAAAATTTAGTAAAAATAATTTCAGTTATAAAAAATTTGTCGGCTTTTGAATAAAATCGAGCGGAGCCGCGGGCAAAAGTTAGTATGGTATAAAAAAAACTTTACCTAATTTTGTCCCATCTGGACTGAAGACCATGGTCCTGACACGATCCAAATGTGTTTGACCCTCACCCCACTGGTCCACAGCTGTATCAGGATCGCTCATCACCACCAGTTGTGAATTAGTTCCCGGATCTAATAATGAAAAAATAGATTTTATATGATATAGAGTTTAAAATTTTTAATTTAAAACGACAAAATAATCGTCAAAATTTTCGGTATAAGCGTATATTTTGAATGCTTTATTTCGATGCAATATTATTTTTATTACTATAGACATAATGTGGCATTATTAGGTTTCCGCTGTAATTTAGACAACTCTTGTAATTTCTACGTATCTTATACGTCTCACAGTGTTATAACTTCTATTAATAATTTTTGAGTGATTTTTATTTAAGTTTTCAGTTTCCCATTATATATTTTCTTAGTGACAGGATTTTATTAGTACTGTGTTGTGAATACTATATTGAGATACAATTGGAAATTTTGAGTGAATTTTGAAAGAGTTTTGTTCTTTTTTTGAAAATAAGCATGGTTATATAACATTGAAAAATATAGAATATCAAAAATAATATAAAATAAAAAAACTAAAACTAATACTTCTAATTAGCATACAGTCCAATACTCATGCTTTTGTACCTAGATGGGGTTTAATTAATCACATGTTGCTGATACAATCTGAGCCTATTTCAGACACCGGTATAGAAGAATGTACATTTGTTGTAAAATAAGATTATTTTAACTATGTGATAGCGAGGTAAGAGGTGTAAGGTGGTGCTCTAAGGGAGATTATGAGCAATGTCAAGAAGATTTTATGACATCCAATAGATAGTGATGTAATTCTTAAACGCCAGGTGTAAAATACCAGCGAAGGGCTGCAGCGTTGAAGGTACAAGACGTTTGGTATTGCGATCGTCAATTCGCATGGATTAAGACAAATCCTCTCTAAAACGGGAGAGCAGCACAGGCAGTGGAATTTTACTATATAATAATGATGATGAAGAAGAGTATTATGAATATATTTATTTACTAGTTGTTCCCCGCGACTTCACCCATGTGTAATTTAAGGTTTTAATTTTTTGCGAGGAACCCTAATTCTTTTTCTAAACTAAAAGTAGCCTAAGTTACTCGTATTTATAACATCAGCTGCCAGTGAAAGTTCCGTCAAATCGGTCTAGCTATTTTGGAGATTAGCTGGAACAGACAGAAAGACAAAATAAAGTTGGTAAAAAAATTACTTCGCGTACATCCGCTCGATAAAATAAAATAAAATGATGTGTCTTACCTAGTTTGAAGAGCACCTCCCGCCCTCCCTCAATTGCGTGCATTGTGTATTGTCGTCAGTGGTGTGTCTTCCCTAGTGTAGTGGTGTTGGGAGTAGTGGTGACGGGGATAGTGCATATATATATATATATATATGTATATATAAAATAAAATGATGTGTCTTACCTAGTTTGAAGAGAACCTCCCGCCCTCCCTCAATTGCGTGCATTGTGTATTGTCGTCAGTGATGTGTCTTTTCTAGTGTAGTGGTGTTGGGAGTAGTGGTGACGGGGATAGTGCATATATATATATATATATATATATATATATATATATATATGTGTATTATCTATATATGGAAAAAGCTACAACGAATTGAACCGTAACCAGTATACTAAATCCGAATATTATCTGACACTTAGACCACTAGTTAATGAATTTAATCAATGAGAGGTCAATGCCCGTTAATGCAAATGTCGCTTTAATTAAGATAGATTCGTAGTTTCAGTTGATTGTATATTGATCAGGTGTTTTATCTGATGTTTCGTGCTGTCCACCAGAGCTAATGTTGATTGAAGTCGATCAGCGCGCACTGCTAGTAGTCACGCTATCCTATACCTGGATGTGAATAGCTTATTAAACCACTTTTTAACGTGTAGCGTTTATGCTGACATTTTTTGTCTTAACTAACGTACACGCCATGCAATGTCAATTGTTTTCTGCATATGTGCATGATTGATTCTAATTACTACTTTCATTAGAGCCGTGGTAGCTCATGGGTCAAGCGCCCGCTGTAAATTTCACAGCACGCGAGCAACCCGGCTTTGATTCCCACGGGCACGACGAAATTATTAATTGCAATTTTAAGTTTTGCACTCCAGCAGTAGGACGAATAAAGGTTGTAGATTTACTTTTCTTTTTGCTAGTTTCATTATTAATGACTATAATACGAATGTGTTGGCCTCACACAATCAGGTTTTCATTTTTTATAATATTTATTTCCAGTTTTGGCGGGAACTTGACCAGCGACGGTTTGCTACTCCTGTATTATTGTTTAAATAATGGATTGAAGTGGACTTTGATATGTAAAAGTGGTGCGATTTTGTGTATTAAGTGTCTACGCATGTGAACTATTAGTGGAAACGGTGAAACAAGTGCTCTAATGGTGATGTGATTCTCAAGATAAGGTGTCTGCTTGGCACCTTGAGATACCATCGCCAACTGTCTGCTGGCTCAAGTTGCCGTCAAAATCTCCCAAGGACTTCACAATGTGACGCATCAACATATTGTGAAGCAGTGTACTAAGAAGGATACATTTGTACTATGAAGGATAATTATACATTGAAAAATGGAAGACATGGCTGACGCACAAACCGTGCAGGCCAAAAAATGAAAGAAAAAAATATTATTTCAAAAATTAATATAGTATAATAAACAATATAAGAGTTACGTGAACGGATTCTTTTGAATACTTCTTAAACTCCGTGATGTTAAATCAATATATTTTTAATTCAACTTCGTTTACCCGATAACAGTAATCGATATAATCTTATATTGAGTACTGTTACCGTTACCTTTACGTCCTTTTAAAGTCTACTGTTGAACATTAGGCCTCCCCCATAAATTGCCTCATAGGGGGATATTAGCCATAGTTGCCACGCTTGACAAGCGGGTTGGCAACCGCAGGTTTTTATTTTTAGTCGTTATTAGGAAGACACTGCCGCCCATCTCCTAGTTTATTTTCTTCTGTCGCCTCTTACGACACCTACGGGATGATACGGGGTAGTGGTTATTCTTACATCGCATTTACACATTATATTACCGGTTACATTATGATGTTTCTTTCATTTTTTGTATTTTTTATAGGAGAGGGGGCAAACGAGCAGCATACGGCTCACCTGATGGTAAGTGACTACCGCCGCCCATGAACAACTGCAACACCAGGGGGATTGCAAGGGCGTTGCCGGCCTTTTAAAAATAGTAAGTTCTTTTCTTAAAGGTCCCTAAGTCGTATCAGTCCGGAAATATTGCCGGTGGTAAATTACTTCACAGACCACTCTACGCGGAAGAAAACTCTTAGTGAAACGTACAGTGGTGGACGGCCAAGCATCCAGATGGTGTGGATGGTATCGAGAGTTTTGCACGCACATCGCGGCGTTCTTGAAATTTGGTAGCTGGGATTAATCCGAACAATTCCTTAAAGCACTCCCCGTGGTAAATGTGAAAGAAAATGCAAAGGGATGCAACATCTCTTCCCAGCGCCAGTGAATCGAGCCGATCGGAAAGGACTCGGTCGTCAACGATTCGAGCCGCTCTGCGCTGGATGCGGTTAAGTGGAAGGAGCTGACACTGGGGAGTCCCAGCCCATAGATGGGAACATTATTCCATGAGAGACCGAACCTGCACCTTGTAAAGTTGCAAGTGGTTTGCCGGTATGAAATATTGTCCCGCTCTGCTGGGTATGCCAAGTTTTTTAGAGGCCAATTTAGCCTCCTCTTCCAAGTGACCACGAAAGTGCATGTCACTCGATATGCCGACGCTGAGGATTCCGATACTGGCTGAGGCGACAAGATACTCCTTGAAACTAAGGAGGTACGACAAAGGGGTTCTTTTAGCTGTAAATGCGCAAACTTGTGTCTTCTGAGGATTAAACTGGACTAGATTTAGTCGTACCCAATCCGAGATTTGTTCAGCAAAGACTCCACTTCAGACATAAGTTTGTTCCGGTACTCGGCTACGTTATCCACAGGAATATTGGCACGGTCGGTGTATAGAGCATCACCCGTGTTATCATCCGCAGAGCAATGAATGTTACCGCTTCGCAACATATCATTGATATGCAGAAGAAACAGCGTAGGTGATACACGCAGCCTTGTGGTATACCAGCATTAATAGGCTTGTATTCGGAGCATGCACCGTCTACAACGACCTTGACACTCCGATCTCCAAGAAAGCTGGTGATCCAATTGCACAATTTCTCGGGAAGCCCATAAAAAGGAGCTTCGAAATAAGCGCTTTGTAAAAAATCCGATTGAAGGCCTTCGCAATATCCAAACTAACGGCCAATACCTTCCCCTTGGACTCTACTGCTTCCACCCATCTATGAGCCAGGTAGACCAGGTGATCACCAGCTGATCGACCCCGACGAAAACTGTATTGGCGGTCACTAATCAGCTGGTGATCCTCAAGGTACCGCATTAGCTGGCAGTTTATAATGGATTCATTTCGTTTAGAGAACAAGGAGGTAATGGCGATAGGCCTGTAGTTGGACGGGTCTGAGCTGTCACATTTTTTAGGGATCGTGTGGACAAAAGTCATCTTCCATGGTTTCGGGACTACTCCTAGGGAGTAGTAGTACCGAAAAAGACACGTTAGAACCGGTGCCAAATCTGGAGGCACACGTGATCAGCACGATTGGGGTGATTCCGTCAGGCTCACGATGTCCAGGGAGAGGAGTGCTTTGAATATGAGCGCTGTGTGAACAGGACATCCAGCATGGACCACTCATACCGCGGGATGGTCGGCGGTGTGTTCTCCCAGTCATCGAGAGTCAAGTTGGACGCAAAGAAAGACCCTAGCAGATCTGCATTCTCCTCTGCGGCATGGGCCAGTGAGCCGTCCTCCCTTTGCAGAGATGGAAAAGATTGCTGACAGAAGTTCCCTTGGACAGCCTTGGCGAGAGACCAGAATACACGGGTTCCCGAAGTAAGGCGAACTAATTTCTCGCCGATTCTGCCTATGTGCTCTGACTTTGCCTTGGAAATGACTCTTTCGAAGGACCTGGAGGCGGAATTATACATCTTTATAAATTAAAATCACGGATATTTATAAATTACATTAATATATGTTGCACAATAACCTATTGTCGCTGATATTACACTTGATATGTGCATTCGTATTTTGATAAAGTTAACATTATATTTGTAAATTGTTTCAGTAACACAGATAATAGTCTTATGAATTTGTAGAGATCACTGACTCGACTGACGAGTCTTTTTACAATTTGCCTTGGGCATTTCACAAATCAGCGAGCGATTGAAAGCAGATGGCGCCGTTTATTTGAAGTATCTGCAGGCATAGTATGTAATTACTATAAGGAGGTATCATACAACTTGCCGACGACGTAAATAACATGTACGAAAGACAATGTCATTTCTTAAAACTTACATTATCAGCTGGCCAAGCAGACGTTGTTCTGACCTTTCCGAAAACCCTTGCCATAAGAAATCCTTAAATTCGCAATAAAAAATATTGAGTCACATAATGGGATAAAAACTATCCTATCTCTCAAGTTGGACCAATCTGCATACAGCGTGCAAAATTTCATTCAAATCTGTTCAGTAGTTTCATTGAGATATTATGTACTCTTTAGTACATAATAGTTCAATAAGTAGTTTAGAAGTTCACAACAATGTAACATGTAATTTTTATATATAAAGATTTTCAAAATTTTGTCAAGGATAGTTTGAATAAAATGTCGTATTTTAGATACCATTTTGTATTGCGAGAATTGATAGTTATTATCAGATTATGTGGTCGGAAAAATATCCGCACATATGAAATACTGAATTAAATTCTTAATCTAATCTAATATATTTATAAAATATTTTATATAAATCGAGATACAAAAATTATGATTTAATTGCAGGGAAAAAACTTTGACCCTAAATTTCTCGTGTTTTAAGCGTTATTTGTACGTTATAGCATATCATTTTTTTTTCTATGATATGAAAGGCATTCATTGAACTAGATTCTTCATGGGCTACATTTCTATTAAAATAATTTATTTCCGGATAATAAGTTAAAAAGTTTCAATAAAGTAAATTTTTGTCCACCGAATGTCGCACGCTTTCTCTAGTAAAGTAAAGTAAAGTTGCAGCCTATTTACGTCCCACTGATGGGCTCGGGCCTCCTCTCATTTCTGAGAAGGGCAAGGAATAGTCTTCGAAATATTTTTTTTCTTATTTCTCCGACATGCAGGTTTCATCACGATGTTTTCCTTCACCGCCGAGCACGTGGTAAATCAGCACTTAAAATTGCAATTAACAATTTCAGTGGTGCCGGTGGGGATCGAACCCGGGTTGCTCGAGTACTGTGAAGCTTACAGCGAGCGCTAACCATCTGAGCTACCACGGCTCTCTCTATGCTGGACAAATATGCATGCAGCGGAGAAGGGAGGAAATGCTCGCCTGTATTATAAAAATTACAATTTAAAGCAAGAGGGCTGGTTTTTTTTTCTCTCAAAGGCAAAGTATATCCATTCAGTATAGTCAGATAAAGATATAAAAGCCTAAAGTTAATAGCACTGACATCTCAGAATAAAGATATTAGCCATTAAGCGAGGAGACTCAACCAGCGTTCATGGCACTATCCTGAGGCGAGTAGAACTGTATGATGATTTAAGTTTTTGGTTTTAGTTGTTTTATTTTTATGTTATATAAATAAATTTATATAAAAGTGATACCAGAGTTCCACAAGCTGACAACCAGTTCACCAGTTCTATGGCTGAAAAGCATTGCGTCGAGGTAGTAGTGCTTATGACTGAGATTGTATTCCCTGAACCTCGCTGCAGGGGCATCCCATAACCCGATTTGTGCGTAAATATTGTTAGTGACTGCCCCTACGGCGAGCAATGCACTGCGCCACGGATGCCAGGTTATAGACTGAAAAAAGACATTAATTATTATTAATTACTACACTACTCAATTAATCACTACTACTATTGCTATTTTATGTAATTAATTCACTTATTAATTAATATTGTTTTAGCACGGTGACAACATTCTTTTGCCGAGATAAAAAAAACTTGGTAACAAGAAGTACTACACTATTATCTTGTCAAAGGAAAAGACTGGTCACAGCTTTATTTTTTGTTTGATCTTGTCGGTACAAGCTGTTTATTATATAATGTTTATTTTTCTTACAACAGAGCTGGTTGAAATTGTAATTCTTTATTTTTTCGGATTAAAAGCCGGAGTAATGCGAAAGCGTTCATCAATCGTAGTTTGGCGGTTGGAGCAATTTTTTTCGGCTTGGGAAATATTTCTTCGCCATAGCTTCGTCAATTGTGAATTGATTTTTCTTTTTTAATTAAATAGGTTATACTACAGGAGTAATTGTGATGTGCCGATATGAAATAGTGTCCCGCTTTGCTGAACACGCCAAGCTTCTTAAAGGCCAATTTGGCCTTCCCTTCCAAGTGATCACGAAACTGCACACTATTCGATATGTCGACGCCAAGGATTCCGATGCTAGATGAGGCAGCAGGGGAGTGCCTTTAAACTGAGGAGATACCACAAAGGGATTCTTTTTAGCGGTAAACGCGCAAACTTGTGTCTTCTAAGGATTGAACTGTACTAGATTTAGCCGCCCTCAATCCTAGACTTTGTTCAGCAAGGACTTGACTTCAGACACACGTTAGTTCCGGTACTCGGCGACGTTTTCAGCTTAACCAGTGCTGACGTCCGCACAGCAATGAATGTTACCAGTTTGCGAGATGTCATTGATATGCAGAAGAAACAGCGTTGGTGATAGCATGAAGCCTTGTGAAATACCAGCGTTAATAGGCTTCTAATTAGAGCATGCATCGTCTACTATTGATCCAATTCAACAATTTCTTGGGTGCCCATAAGAAGGGAGCTTTGAAAGAAGCGCTTTGTGCCAGACCCGATCGACGGCCTTCGCTATATCCAAACTAACGGCCAATGCCTCCTCTATGGACTCTACTGCCTCCACCCATCTATAAGTTAGGTAGACCAGCGTGTGGTATATGAGAGCGTAATCCTACCCCGGTCGAGCCGACCCATCATTCTATAACTAGTATAGCTGCACCGTGGCTCTACCACGTGCTAAAGGGTATGTAGTTTTGAATGGGCCTATTTAGACGACATTGAGATTGTAATTTTTTTCTTGTTTAAGAAAACGTTCCCCCACACTAGGATTTTCTCGTGGTGACAGTTTACAAACACAGTTTACAAAGACAAGCATACAGACCCGGAACAATTATTTGTAGGCCATACAAATACTAGTTCCGTGCGGGATTCGAACCCGCGGCCGTCAGCGCAGTAACTCATTACTAAGCAACTGCGCCACGGAGCCGTCAATTATATATTCCATTTAGTCCACTCAAAATGGTAAAAAATAACCTTTAATAAAAAGTAAAAGATAACTTCAAACTACTAAAAAAATAATAATTTCATATTCTGAAGAAAAAATTAAAGACCCCTACTTTAATTTTTCTATACAATTATGTCTTAACAAATATTGATATATCAGAATGGGGAATCACTTAATTCTATTTTTAGTTGTTTGAAGTTCGCTTCTACATTTTATTAAAAATTATTTTTTTACTTTAAAAATATTACTTTCTTTTTTATTAGACCACGCTACTTATTTCATCAAAAATGGGAATTTGCATATTATACCTTAATAGTCCAATTACTTGAATCCAGAACAGAATAAGGCTCAAGTGAAGGCCAGCAGAGTAAATGTAAAGCGTCCGAATTAACTGCGGCGACGGCTATATATCGAGCGTCAGGTGATACTCTTAGAAACAATATAGCATTACGGGCTACTCTTCTCCAGCGTATTGGTTCACTATTGCGACTGTAGGAGGTTGTCATCCCTCGAGAGCATCCTCTGAAAACGTATTTATAAAATATAGCAGATATTGATAATAGCAGCTTAAGTCATGGCTGATATATTGATGGATGGAGGTGGTTTAAAACCATTTGTTTATCATTATTTGGGAAAGGCGTATGTACAGCAGTGGATTTGTAAAGGACTGTAATGATGGTGATGGTAAATAACGATAAATAATTTCTGCCACTCGGGTATTTCTGCCCATGGTTATGTGCTCTAGTAAAGTGAGTCTATTGATATATTTAGATTAGCTGCGTCTTGTTAAGGGTAGTGATATTTGTATCTATGAGCCACAATATCGATCGCAAAAATAGTTCTAGGCCATCAGAATTTGATAGGAGGAAAAGATTTGAAAAATGAGCATATTACAAAACCGATTAGGAATTCTGTATTTTTAAGTATAGTTAGTAAATACTTAGTTTTCTTTTTTATAATTTAAAGATATTTTTACACTTAATGGCCACTTATTCCACACTTTATGGCCGACATGTGCTATTAAGTGTGCAATATGATATCGTTCAAATTCCCGCCTCAGCTTCTTACAGTGGCACGGATCCGAGTGGTCCAATTTTCAATGACTCTTCTGCATAGATCCGACTGAATTTGAGCGATGGCCTGTGTTATGTTCACCTTTAGGGTATCGGTTGATTGTAGTTTGTTTGCGTAGACCTGCAACTTCAAGAAACCCCACAAGAAAAAGTCTAGCGGGGTCAAATCGCATGCCCTTGGTGGCTAATTCACATCAGCCTTGCGAGAGATAAGCTTACCCTCAAATCGCTCATGGAGAGTGCCAATCGTGGCGTCCGCTGTGCGGCATGTAGCGCCGTCCTGCTGAAACTCATGTCATCTAGGTCCAAATGGTTCAACTTGAACCATAAGAAATTGGTAATCTTCGTTCTGTAGCGCTTGCCGTTGACGGTCACCGCCTCACTAGCGTCGCTTTCGAAAAATACGAACCAATGAAGCCTAAAATCTACACCAAACGGTAATTTTTTGTGGAGGAGGTTTTATCACCTGGTGAACCTCGCGAGGGTTGGTGTCGTCCCATATACGAAAATTTACGGCTTGTTAAACAGCCACTCATCTAAAAATGCATCTCGTGGCTAAAAATCATTTTCGTCCAAAATTGGGGTCCTCTTCCAAACGATTCGATGCCCAGTCAACGAACAAACAGCGTTGTCTATGGTCATGAACTTTCTTGTCTGCGAAAGCAGAGTGCTTGTGCATGGCGAGGAATCGACTGATGGTTCTCGGCCGATCTTGCGTTTCTTGAACGTACGGGTATTGCTTAATTGTTTACCGAACCGGTCGTTTCAAATTTGGCCACCAAATGTTGGTGTCGATTGTGAAGGGCCACCACGTTTACCGTAAAATGAGCACAATACACGCAACGTTTGCACTAACGAACACTCATTTTGATAATAAAGTTTTATCATTTGAACGTGCTGTTCAATCGTGTAACTTGCCATGGTGATTTGGCATAAGTAACTGAATAATAAACAGAAGATTTGATAGATGTCACCAAAACAAAATGGCTGCCACGGGCTGCCAAAATCTACCCGCGCCAATTGAAAAACCCTTTACTTTACGCCGGTATTCTGTGAGAGGGTGGTCAGCCGACCTATTTGTGCTACAATTGGACATATTTACGCAAAAAGGAACCAACGTAATTTGTGTCAAAAATCTTCAGATGAAAAAAAATGTTTGTGGTCTATACTATTATGTGATGCAAAAATTTTGCTAAAGTAACACAAATAAGAAGAAAAATTACAAACACAGACACACACCACATAGATCCATTCTTCAAATTTCATAACCTCAAATTAGCTTTCTTTTTAGGGTTGGATCCTTTTTGCATAACCACGTCCAATTATAATATAGCTACAGCGTGACTCTACGAAGTATAAAATATTCTGTAAAATTCTTTCCGTAATAATGTGACAACAATAGGCTTAAGTTTTTATTAAATGTTTTGTAAATGGTATTGGTAGAGAAAACGCACTTACATAACATAAGAGTTTCCCGTCGGGCTCCATTCCACAGCTGTGACGGAGCAGGTGAGGATATCTCCTTGGGAGCATTCGCAGCTGCTATAACCAACACATTTACTTAGCATGTTATCGTGGATCTCGGCTGTTCTGTCTTGTGTTCCTAGCTGAAAATATGTTATATTTTTATTCATTGTTAAGCGTTTTGCTGATTTTTAAAAAGCTTTCCTTTGAAATTTGACCACGGATTTTTTCCCCTGATACATATATCTTGTTCTTCATCAGAGCTTGATTATGGGCCTTTCACATTATAGGGATGATTTGCCATAATCCACACCAACGCTTGGCAGGCTGATCAACGATCGCAGTTCCAGACGTTTCTGACCTTTGACCCTGATTCTCGTCTGTGTATTTTAGGCCGGGCATTAACTAGATGATTATGCTGTCATATGTCGGAAGCCGTAAGAACTTTTTGGTACTCGTATGTCCTATAGTCGCCTCTTGATATGCTATACGGACTTTTTCACACTACCACTAACTGGTAGATCAGCTCTTTACAGTTCATTTCTGGACAAGGTGGCGGATATAATAAGAATGTATTGCCGTAACTGCCACGATTCACAGTGTAGGAGAGCGCAGAGCTAGATGTATCGCCTTACACGCTGTGCCCCGATGCTACTTTCACATCTGGAATATACGAGATGATTTTAAGTTGATGTTTATACTGCCATCTGTCAGAAGCCAGGAGATCTTTCTTGCCTTTTTCATCGACAGCCTACAACATACACAAGAGGAAACGAGGTGATGAATTATGTTATGTCGTTACCATACGGATAATGATATTATAACTCAATAAGCACCGCTTCTAAAAAAATTGTGTAGAGAATTGATTAATGATGCACTAATTGCCTTGCGGTACTGCTGTCACCGGTTTGAATATTTTTGGCCTGTCTCATCTAGAAAGATTTTGACGTAACCTAACAGATTAATCGGGCAACTTGCTCTATCACCGAGAGGGCGACCATCCGTCCCAAGGAGGTGTCGGATTTATCGTCCACAAGTCTCTCGTTAACAACGTTGTAAAGATTGAGAGTGTGTCGACGAGGGTTGCGTACCTTATACTCAGAATCACCAAACGGTATTTGCTAAAGGTCATACAGGTTTAAGCACCAACCTCAGCACACCCCGATGAGGAGGTGAAGGAAATGTATGAGGATATCTCTAGAGCCATGCATTCCTCCAAACCCACTATACAGTGTTAATGGGAGACTTCAATGCAAAACTAGGCACAAGAGAGAACGGTGAGCTGAAAGAAGGGAAATTTGGAATAGGGCAACGGAACCCAAGGGGCCAGCAGCTGGCCGACTTCATGGAGAAAGAGGGACTCTCTATGATGAACTCTTTCTTCCAGAAGCGGCCCCACAGGAAGTGGACCTGGTCGAACCCCGACGGTTCCACAAAAAATGAGATTGACTTTATTATGACGATTAGACGATAACTGTTCAGTGATGTCTCCCTGATCGCGAGGGTGAAAACTGGTAGCGATCACTGAATGGTTAGAAGCATACTGAACCTAAACGTTACGTTGGATAGGTCTCGTCTGATGAAGTCAACGCTCCGTCCCCCTCGTGCTCTGTTCCAAAGTCTCGAAACCTTTCAGCTCGAGTCACAAAACCGTTTTCAGTGCCTAGAAGACTGCAATGAAGTGGACGATATGAATGACAAGCTCGTGCAAACTGTCCATGCGGTCGGAGTTAAGTTCTGCAAGACCCGCCGCAGAAGAACACAAAAACTCTCCGATCACACTCTCAATCTCATGGCTGTTAGACGGGAGATGAAGCTGCATTCTTCAACAGATTTGACAGCATACAGGCAACTGAACAGACAGATCTCCAAATGCATGCGGCGGGAATTACGCAACTTCAATACAGCTCGTATTGTAGAAGCGATCGAGCGGAACCAAGGCTCCAAAGTCTTTGCCAGAGATCTGTCTGCCAGAAAGAGCCAACTGTCGAAGCTGAAGACCGAGTATGGCAGCATCGTTTCCGGGGCACCTGAGATTTTGAGTGAGATTGAGAGGTTCTACGGGCAGCTGTACACGTCATCGTTGGAGCCACACCCAAGTGTGAGTGACGATCCAAGAGCGAATCTTATCCGACACTATTCCGAAGATATCCCGGACGTCAGTCTGAGAGAGATTAGAATGGCTCTCCAGCACCTTAAAAACGGCAAGGCCGCAGGCGAGGATGGAATTACAGCGGAGCTTCTGAAAGCGGGTGGAAGACCAGTACTTGAAGTCCTTCAGAAGCTCTTTAATTTCGTCCTCCATGGTCCGGCATTACACCGGAGGCGTGAAGCAGAAGTACGGTGGTCTTGTTCTTCAAGAGAGGTGACAACGCTCTCTTGTAGAACTACAGACCGATTTCCCTTCTGAGTCGCGTCTACATGCTGTTTTCGAGTGTCATTACGAATCGTCTCGTGCGCAGACTTGACGACTTCCAGCCTCCCGAACAAGCCGGTTTCCGAAAGGGCTTTAGCACCATAGACCACATACATACCCTTCGGCAAATTGTACAGAAGTCCGAAGTGTACAATTTGCCACTATGTCTGGCGTATGTGGACTATGAGAAAGCCTTTGATTCCGTCGAAATTTGGGCGGTGCTGCAGTCCCTTTAGCGGTGCCAAGTTGACTGTCGGTATATCGAAGTGCTGAAGTATTTGTACAGTAGAGCTACAATGGCTATCTGAGTACAGAACCAGAGTATAAAACCTATCCAATTGCAGAGAGGTGTAAGACAGGGTGAAGTTATATCCCCGAAACTCTTCACCGCTGCATTGGAATACGTTTCCAAACTTCTGGACTGGAAAGGATACGGTATTAACATCAATGGCAAGTACATCACTCACCTTCGATTTACCGACGATATAGTCCTTATGGCAGAATCGCTGGAGGACCTAAGCACCATGCTCAATGACCTCAATAGTGTCTCCCAACGAATAGGTCTTAGGATGAACATGGACAAAACAAAGATCATGTTAAATGTCCATGTCACACCTATGCCGGTAGTTGTTGGGAGTACTAAGCTCGAAGTTGTTGAAGAGTATGTTTACCTGGGACAAATAGTCCGACTAGGTAAGTCCAACTTCGACCGAGAGGTCAATTGACGTATTCAACTCGGCTGGGCAGCGTTCGGGAAACTACTACATATCTTCTCGTCAGACATACCTCAAAACCTTAAAACGAAATTGTACAACCAGTGCGTGTTGCCAGTGATGACCTACGGATCTGAGACGTGGTCCTTCACTGCTGGCCGTGCTGCTACGTGATAGATTTAGAAATGAGTATATCCGCAGTAGAACCAGAATAACCGATATAGCCCAACGGATTAGTAAGCTGAAATGGCAGTGGGCCGGCCATATAGCTCGAAGAACCGACAACCGATGAGGAAGAAAGGTTCTTGAGTGGCAGCCTCGTGCGGGTAGGCGAAGTGTAGGGTGACCCCCCACGAGATGGAGTGACGACATGGTAAGACATGCAGGAAGTCGATGGATGTAGGTGGCTCAGGACCGTGCTCTGTGACATTCTTTGGGGGAGGTCTATGTTCAGCAGTGGACTTATGAAAGGCTGTATTGATGATGATGATGATGATAACAAATTAGTGAGCTGAAATGACAATTGGTCGGCCAAGCAGCTCTAAGAGTCGACATCGATGAAGAATGAAGTTTCTCTTGTCAGCAAATGGAAAGCGTAGTATAGGCGACCCCCTAATAGATCGAGTGGCAACTTGATGAGACGTGTAGGAAGTCCATATATGAAGATGACACGGGACAGTGCTTAATGGTAATTGATAGAGGAGGCCTATATCCAGCGTGGACTTGTGAAAACCTGTTATCCACTCAAGCGCAAGATCAGCGTTGCCAACTTTCGGCTAACCGCCAGCGACCGCGAGGCTAATACAATGTTATTTGATCACTTCCGACCTTGGCGATAAAAACACTTGTCGTTCGCAAACTACAAGTGATATATCGAAATTAAAAATAAAGTTATAAGGCTGAATAATTAAGAAACCTAACTATCTAAAAGTCTAGAAGTATAATTTTAATTTGAAACTCTAAAAAAAAAGTTAAACTTGAAAAACAGTAATGAAAAATTTTACTATCTTTATAAAAATACTTATTTGATGAAAATCCCTTAATTTTATATTCATTTTAATAATATTTAAATAAACAAGATTAAATTAATTTTCTAACAATACCATAATAATTAAACTTATTCCTATGATTCATTCTGTGCTTATTCTAAACCGACACACACTGCACGATCACAGATTGTTAACTAATTTGTCAATTTTTTTAGTTAACCTTCTGCATGAGTATTGCTACTAACATTATATATCGTTGAATAATTTCATAGAAATGAACTTTATGTAAATATTTTCATAGATAAGACGCGCTAGTCGATTTTTTTGGCATTTTATTAGACTATATCGTGAGGGGCACCCGGTGGCAGACAACTCGTTTTTTGTTTTGGGTACCATGGTCCCCCGGGGCGCTTGAGTGCTTAAAATATATGTCAGATTACATACAGATAACATATTCAGACAACATAACTGTTCAAGTGATGGTAAATACCTATTGCAGCCCGTGGACACCTGTAACTAACTTTAAACAAAGAAGGCTGTAAACACATTATTACTTCTGAGAACTAAGATGGAATGCGTTTAGACGCATAATATATGATAGATATATCAGAGTCAGTATGATAATAGGGTTAGCCCTATTGATACAGATGTTTGGCAGCAAAAACAAGTAACCTATCTAACTAACCATAGTCAACTCTTTTATTATATATGACGTAAGATTCAATGTTGAATTCTTTGGCATACAGAATGAAAATTTTTAAGTTTGGTACTTTATTTTTTCCATTTATTTACTTACAGCTAACATTTCTCCTCTGGGGTGAAACTTACAGCAAAAGATTTCCTTCTTCGTTACACCTTGGTTAATAGGTCCTTGGGTGCGCCAACTCCATTTGTGGTATTTACGTCCCAGAGCTGCCACCAGAATGTTATCGTTGCTCCAGTCAAGAAGTTCTGGAACTTATAATCATGTTCTACTCTTTACAAGCGCCCAGGCTTTGGGCTATCACAGCTCTAATATAAATCATGCTTTAAGTTTAATTTAAAATTATTGTAATTTTTTTTTTATAGAATGAGGCTGACAAATTAGCGCACAGTCTGCTCATAGACATCTACATTTATCTTCGATTAAGAATCAAAATGCAAATGCGTTGTTACCCCTGAGGAGTAAGATGGAATGCCTCGTTTCCAGTAAAAAAAGATCCTCGGTTCTCTACACTTACCATAAAAAACATAGCAATATTAAGCTGCTATTTTACGCCGGTATTTTTTGTGAGTGTGGTCCTACCCCGTCGAGTCCACCCGTTCATGCTACAACTGTAGCTCTACCACGAAAAACTTAATTTATAAACAAATACTTACAAGCGGCTAGGCTGTATCTAGGTAAATCTAGGATGCTGTCTGCCGATGACAATAATTTTCTATCTCGCGGTATACAAGGCCAGGGTCGCAAGTAAGCCTCCTCTTGGTTTCGAGCTGGGCATAAACGAGAGTGTTGTTGAGTGTGATGGTTTTGAATATTCAGCGGTTCCAGTCCAAACGCTTCGTCTAAAAACATTGTATATTTCTTCTGTTGCAAGTATTTTGAATACTGAAAAGATATGGTTATGTAAAATTGCTTGATATTAGGTACTGAATATATCATCATCATTATATTCATTAATAAAATAATATATTACAGCCTATGAAAACCCTCCTGCTGAACATAGGCCTCCCCCATAGATTGCATCATATAGGCCCTATATTATAGGGGATATTAGTGATAGCTGCCACAATTGACAGACGAGTTGTCAACTATGTACAATACGTGCTCGTGCCACGTTGCAGCTATATTTTGGTTGTAGCAGGAATATGTGGCTCGATTGGGGTAGGACCACGCTCTCACAGAATACCGGCGTAAAATAGCAGCTTAATGCTACTGTGTTTCATATGGTGAGTGTAGAGAACCGGAGACACTTTTAACTGGAAACGAGGCATTCCATCTCAGTTCTCTAGGGTGACAACGCATGAGCGTTTTGATTCTTAATTAAGGATAGATGTAGCAGGTTTGTTATCAGGAAGATGCTGCTGCCCATTTTCTGTTTCACATACCTCTGTTGCCTTTTACAACACCCATGGGTGTTGTAAGCTGATGTTATGCGGCAGTGGATTCCCTTACGTGCCATTACACGCCGCCGTTGCGTTTAGCATTGTCATAAAGGCAGGTAAAACAAAGTGACCATACACATATTGTATATTCAATTGTGTCTAGACGCTATTTTGGTACAAAAATCAGGTGAACTGTGCGCAGTGGCAGATGAATGCGGTGAAGGCTGCTATGAAAAATAACATATAAATATATAAAGAAGATATCAATTTCGAAGACGTTCATGTTGAGCTCTGGACCATTTAGTGGCTGGTAATGATAAATAAAAAGTAGTACCCAAACATCGACGTTGTTACAGGTCACAGGCGACGATTTGCGCCTGCGCATTGCGTCTATTGACTCGCGTGGTGGCACGAACCTATCCGTTCTCTGTCTGTGTGTGTTAGTCTGTAAAACAGATATTTTAAAGTTAGATATATGTGTTATAATCCTTATAACGACAATATATTATATTGTTTTCTTTTAGAATTTTCATGGCACCATGTTTTCCATTAGTATTTACATAGTGTAATGTAGTAAATTATACAAGTACTTTTTTTAAATGTTATTTTGTTTAAAAGTTTAATTATATTTTATTTAAATTTAATATTTATTAGGATATAGTAAATTTCAAAAACACATTTATGGTAGACTAAGAGTACGAATTGTCAAACTAAAAGGGAAATCGTCATGAATTCCTTGGTTAGTCGTCTTTACTTGATATTCCAGTTATTTAATTATTTTTGGTGTCCAAAACCCAATAATATTGTTAACCAGGAAGTGTATATTGTAATATTTTTAGGTGCTTATCATTATTATTTATTATCTTGATAAAGAAAAAATATTTTTTTTCTACAACTGACTACATCTTTTGGACTTTGGGAGGTAGTACTTAAGCTGGTATGTGTTTATTTATGCATGTCTGTTTTTATCCGTAACTCTTAAATCATTCGAGAAATTACGAAAAATTATATGTCAATTAGTCATAACTACACGGGTAACATAAACTATATTTAAATAAATATGGCATTAATATGTGAACTATCAAAAACTTACGACCTAAAAAATTGTTGGATCGTGTAAAGTATCATATCACAAGTAATAAAAAAATATTAGAGTTACATGAAACGAGTTTTTTGTTTTAAATAAAAAAATTACTTGCTGACGATATAATTCATTTAATATAGAACGTTTATCAACTAATGTGCTTCTTGGGGCGATTAAGTTAAAGTCATGATCACTGAAAGTTATAATAGTTCATATTTATCATAACTTTACTGCATCGTTTTGCACACGATACTACTGTAGGTGGTGAAGTTGCGGGAGATAAATGAGCGGTAACCCTTTTGCCCTTTCGTGTAATAATTCTTTAGTACAATATAAATTATATCATTTCGCGAGTAATAACTATATAAAAGTAGCAGGAAAATTCGAATTTAATTTCCTTGTTATTTATTTTAAACTTCGTCTTCTTTTGTACCTTTTTGTCCGCGACATAAACTATGTCGACATCTTTTTTTAATGTTTTTGCGTGGCGTATTTAATACTAGCTGTTCCCCGCGACTTGACCCGCGTGTAATTTAGGGTTTTAATTTTACTGCGCGGAACCTTAATTCTTTTTCTAAAATATAAGTAGCTTAAGTTACTTCTTATAACATCAGCTATCTACCAGTGAAAGTACGGTCAAAATCTGTTCAGCCGTTTTGGAGATTAGTTGGAACAAACAGACAGACAGACAGAAAGACAGACAGACAAAAATTTTTAAAAACGTGTTTTTTGTTCTGGATCAAATCAGGATCTGAATCAGATGTCTTGGATCTGGATTGCCTTATAATGCGACACTGGACCAGGCACCAGGCAGAGCACTCCGGATTTAAACCTAAATTTAGATTACGTTAGAGCTGTGTATCTGTTTTGTTGTGTTTGTGTACGTAGGTCTCTCAATAAGCTTTGAGATGCTCGAAATTTAAAAATGGAACGCACTCGTGTTATATGTTTCTACAAAGCAAATTTATTTAAAAAGAGTACTCCATAAGCCAATTGCTCAATATTAAAAAAAAAACAAAGTTCTATTAGTTTTCCTGCAACGCTTCCCGCGCTTTTCATTTAAAACGATGGATCTTAACCGTGAACATTTGCGCGCTATGATATATTATGATTTTAAATTTGGTTTAACCGATCAATTAAGTTTACAACGGTTATAATCAGCATTAGGGGACTCAGCTCAATCACGCGCAACAACTTTTAAGTGGTTTGCTGAATTCAAAACGAGTAAAATTATTCTTAAAGATGACCAAAGAACCGGGGCCCCGCTAACAGCAGTAATGGCAGAAAATGTATGGACTACTGAAATGTTGGTGCGAGAAGACCCACAAATTACATATACGGACATCGAAAAGATTGTAGGAATTAGTTCAGGGAGTATTCATACCATCCTACATCAACATCTTGGAGTGAGGAAGCTTTGTTGTCGATGGATCCCTCGTTTGCTCTCCGAAAGCGAAAAACAGACACGTGGATTGGTGCCATGAAATGCGTCTACGTTTTGAAAACGGGGCATGTTTCATACAAAAATATAGCCTATATCCTATGCTGGTTGGTTATCTATAATGTTGTAAAATTTAATCAAAATCCCTTCAGTAGATGAACCATAAACATCTAAACAAACTTTCACATTAAAATATTATGGTAGGATTGTAGGGAGGGATGATAATAATGAGTTCGATCTTTGGATCCGTTGGATCTATTTAGGCTCTTCCATAGTCATCGCTTTCGATACTCAAGAATAGGGTGATAAATTTAATTACACCGTCACTACGCGGCAAGGTTAAACATGTCTTAACATGCATTGTTATTAAGTAAAGTTTACTACAGACATCTTTAAATGTATACGTAATTATTACAATCAAATTACCGGTTACATTAATGCTTTATATGTAAATGGAGAATGGATGACTTGCAAACGCGTTGGATGAAATTAAGCTCTTGTAAAAATAATTATGCATGACAAAGAAGTTATTATAATGTTGTATTGTAATTAGGAATATTTTCTACAGGGTAATGTATATTTCAAAAAATAATTTGTATTTCCCTCAACTAATTACAAAAAATATTTCATGGGTTGAGTTTGAGCTCATTGTTGTGAACGTCCGTCCAGATCCCCATGAGAACATGAAGAACATGGGGAATGGGGTACTTGAGGATGATGACCAAGATTTGAAGTTCTAGTTTCCGAAGGTTGTTGGTTGCGTGTTCATATCACGTCGGGTGGTAACCACTGTGGCGGGCTGGCGGGTAGAAGGAAAAGGGGAGATCTCCCGCCGAGCAAGGTGTTCTGCCCGGGGAGCGGCCAACGCTCCGAGTGGTAGGTAGTTCAAAGCTATGCTATATATACTGCTCCAACTTCGGAACTTTGTTAGCGCGATTTAGTCTTCGATTTGTTTTAGTTACTTTCATAGCGTAATGTCTTATGAAATTTTGCTATGGGGTAATACGACTGATATTGAAGCTATATTTGTTTTGCAACAGAGAGCGAGAGAGAGGCGATTTATAACCTAAATTGTAAAGAGTACCTCAGAGAAAAATTTAAAGAAATAAACATATTAAATTTGGCATCTCAATATATTTATGAAAATGTAATGTATGTACATAAAAACATAAATAGCTTTAATAAGAATAAGGATGTTCATACCTTAAACACTAGGAACAATAGAAGCTTGTAATGCCAGTTACTAGACTCCACAGAATTAGTAATTCATTTATGGGGCAATGTATACGCTTTTACAACACAATCCCAGAACATGTTCAAAGTTTGTCAATAAACAAGTTTAAAAGTTTTATTAAAGAAAAACTGTACAAAAAGGGTTATTATAATATCAAGGAATACATGAATGAAAATAACCCCTGGGAATAAGGTGATCGCCACTATGCTGGTTTTATGGTTTTTGAGAAACATTTTACTGATGTTCCTTTTTTTACAACTAAATCATTAAATTCTTCTCCTACTGTCGCCGAATCATTGCTTAAACAAAATGTAAAGGCTTTTAACAAAAATAAGTAATATTTATTCTGTAAATACTGGGAATAGATACTACCTAGTAGTACTAGTTATTCACTTCCACCGAGTCAGTAATTCATTCTTGGGGTGATGTATACGCTTTTACAACCAAACCCCAGAAAATATACAAAATTTGACCTGCTCAAAGTTCAAAAACTTTATTAAACTAAGTTTGTATAGAAAGGTTTATTATAATGTTAAGGAATTTATGGATGATAATAACCACTGGGAATGAGGTGATCGATACCAAGCTATTTCGAATATGTTTTGAGTTGTTAACATACATGACTGTAAGCTGTTATTTTAAAAAAGTCCCAAAAAAGTGTTTTTGAACCAGTAGTAACTAAACAAAAGAGTGACATTAAATAAGTATTATTTATAATCAATATTGAATAAAAAAAGTTTTTGTTTGTTTCCATTAATTTAAAATAGAATACTAGTTCCATTTTAAATTAATATTTTTCCCTTTTGTTTACTAAGTATATCCATTCAGCGAGGAAACTTGTTCATGAAACACACCGCGGAGAATACTGTATGATCAACTTAGTTTAGTTTTTATTTTATTACTGTAATGTAATAAATATTATATACAAGTATAATAAAATCGAAACAGAATATTTGCTATGCGATTGCATAATATTTATTAAATATTACATAAAGGTAGCCTTTTATAACCGCTTCTAGTTTTTCTAAGTCTAAAAAGGTCAATTTAATTAGCAGTAATAAATACGTTACTTGATTTTGTTTGCTGTAATACAAATAACAAAGCTATTAAGGTTTGTTCCCTTTATGCGTTCTTTGATAATTTAAGAACCCAATTATAAGAATGTATTTCTCTGTATTAATAAGTTTCGAAATATAAATTAACCTTAAGAATATACATTAACAGAATTATACCATATTATTTTTTTTATCGTTGATATCTTATCTCCTATTCCGGAACGTTGTTAAATTAGGCCGTTGTAATATAATGTATTTCTGCGCGTGATGACTGTATAATGACTGTAGATGCGTTATACAGTCATCACACTCAGATTTTTTTTAACTATATCTTCTCCTGTGTAAGGTGTAACAGTGGAAGGGCGATAATATTTTATTGAAGGGGCGTGAACCACATTAACCTAAGTTCAAAATAATGATATGATTATAGAATTATGATGATTGTGTTGATAATAACTGTGGAAGACTGATTCTTAAAAGTCCTGTCCTTTTAATGAGTAGCTATTAAAATATTGCATTAGATGTCTATACTGGTGTCTACCAAAACGTGTTAGGACTGAACAATATGATTTAAAGCAAAAACAATTAAGTAAAAATAAATTCATAAGGAATTTCAATTTAAAATCTTAGTGTTTAGTAATTTAGCATAATCCCCTGTTTTTTGCCGACTTCAGAAAGGAGACGGTACTCAATTAGACTGTATGTTTTTTTATGTGTGTTACCTCATAACTTTACTGGGTGAACCGATTTCGATGGTTCTTTTTTTATTTGAAAGCTGGTACTTCACTTGTGATCCCATATGAATTTGATCAAGGTCAGACCAATAGTTTTTGAGTTATTCTTAATAATGTATATTGAAGTCGGCTGTACAAAATTAAAAATTTTGTACAGCCGACTTAAATATACCGATTTTGTATGTACCTATATAAAATAATACACTGAAAGTATAATAGAATTGAGAAACTTCTTTTTTTTATAAAACTCAAGTGCCAAGCTAACATTTCATTTGATGGTATGTGGCTACTGATGCCCATTCAAACAAAGTAGGCTGCAGATGCGTTGTCAATTCTGAATATTGAGGAATGCACACATTCTGTAATTATATATAGATCAAGGACGTGACTACGTCGATGCGCGCTTACGATGTAGTGATTTTAAGCACACAAAGTCCTGGTTTTGTATCCCTGGTCGTGCCAAAACCTGTTGTTGGGTTGTTCTATCAAGAAATTCTCAGTAATTGCCCAGAGTAAAGCTGTTGGTCCTGCGTCTGATCTGTCACCAGTTGTATGAGATTGCCGTCAGATAGAACGATGGGTGTGAGGGAATGGAGTGTGCTTGCGCACATACTCGTGCACCATAATCCTGTACTGCGCAAATGTCCCCGTTGGGACTGGCCGCCGTGACTTGGGATAGCAGCCAATTGGGTTATAATGGATATAAAAATAAGAAATAAAATGAAGTTAACCACAAAATGGAACAAATAAGCAACAACAATAAGTATGTATATATCATTAGTACAAACATAATGACTGTCAGCACGTAATAGGTAAAGCTATTCTAGTTTTATATCTTTACAAGATATTCTTCCTGCCTTTTGACATAACATTATTGATATTTGATATATAAGTTGTTTGTATTAAAAACTTTTTATGTTTAATTTAAAAAAAAATATTAAATTAAATATTGATATTGAAAAATTATAGTTGTCTAACTTTAACATAATTTTTTTAAAACGGAATACGAAAAACCACAACGCTAATTTTCAGTGATGACCAAGAAGTTTTTTTTTCAATTCATATGTCAAATAAACAGTTACGTTTAAAGATCTTTATAGGTAAATAAAACTTTAAGAGTACTATTAAAAAAAAAGTTCGGAATGCAAATGAATACTTTACAAAGTGTAATTTTCGTTTAATCTAGTGACAAACATACTTACGGTTTTTTTCCTTAAAGCTGATCTGTCCATAGTAATAATTTGTTCCCGATCAATTCAGTCACTTTGTTGAATAATAAACATTAGTTTGTGTACTAACCAAGAGTTTATGCGACATTTTAATATAGTTTTCAAAATACCCTCTTTTATAAATATACGTATTAACGTTAGCTGGCATGCAATAAAATGTCTAATGTCTATGAATCCTATCTATGAAATAAGCTACGGCACGTGTATTAAATTAAAACTATTATGTGCTCATACGAAATAGTAATATATTATTAATTTTTCCTGATATTTAAAAAATATAGAAGTCACGCTTAATAATCGGAGAAAAAGGTTCTAAAAGTACGGTTTGGGTCCTTTGGTGACTCTTCGTAATTTTAGTTGTCTCGAGTCCCGGGATTTTCGGATCGAGACTCGAGACGAGACAATTTTGTCGAAATTATTATGTAATCATTTTATTTTCAAATAATTGAAGGAGCCTAGCGCCATGTGTTAGTTTAATGAATAATTACTTGGTCTACTACGTAACTACTGAGTACGCAACACAATAAATTAAACAAAGTTATTAAAGAAGTTATTAAGAATTAGTATGATTTTTAACTAAGTTCGTTTCATAACGATAAGATTTTACTGTTTAGAGGTGCATCTGTGTGTAACTAAAAGAAATAAACAAAGCAATTATTAAGACTGAAATTAACGTTAAAGTTATTTGATTTTTTGTTTAATTGTTTAATAAATGTTGATTTTTATAAAAAAAATGCCTCTTTTTAATACGTTTCACCAGAAATTAACTCAATTAAAATTCTTCAAAAAAGGCTTACCCATCATAAAAAAAACAAAAATTTTTTTCTTACAAGTCTCGAAGTCCCAGGAATTTCCGGGACTTTGATTATAGGCTATCCCATATCCCGGGACTATGAAATTGTCGATGATTCCCAAACCATAAAAAGGAGGGGTTTCTTGGTGAGTATGTATTGTTAACGTTACCTTCTTATTTATAGGATGGGGTGACAAACGAGCACACAGTCCACCTGATGGTAAGTAGTTTCTGTGACCCGTAGACATCTACATTTATGCTTAATAAAGATGAAATGCTTCTTTTCCAGTAAAATGGGTCTCCGGTTCTCTACACTCAGCATACGAAACACAGCAGTGTCAAGCTGCCATTTTACGCTGGTATTCTATGAGAGCGTGGTCCTTCCTCGGTCGAGCCGACCCATTCGTGCTACAACTATACCAGAAATATAGCTACAGAATGGCTCTACTACGTTTACAGCCTATCAAAAGCCCACATGAACCATGAACATAGGCCTCCCCATATATTGCCTCATAAAAGGGATACTTGTCATATTTGTCACGCTAGGTAGGTGGGTTGACAAGTTTTTATTTTTAGTAGTTACTAGCTTATTTTATTTAGTACTGGCTGGTACCAGGCGCGTTTCCGACGCAGAAGAAATAATTGTAGAAATATCGTTTTTAAATTTGGAAGAGATATATTGTTTAATTAGGACTGACAATACATTCATTGAAATTAAATGATATACATGTATATTTCAAATTAGCTGTGCCCCGCGGTTTCATCCGCATATATCACGCGTCTACGCCTTGCGACATGCGAACATCGAGCGAGACATCATGACGGACGGTTGCTGAATTAACAAAGATTTAAAAAGTGAAATGTTACTAAAATTACATGATTAACGTAATTGGTGGTTATGCATGGTACAGGTACTGATACGAATAATGTGGCCTAGTTTGTACCAGCGTTACTATAAAAAGTAGTTATTGTGACATAACTGTAATAGTTAAACATATGGTATCGCAGGCTTTTATGTAGATATTGATATCCTCTATAAAACTGAAGCACATTACTTTGCTCTATTATCAATAGTTTCCGCAGCGTTCGCAATATAAGGATTCCTTTTGGTATTTTTTTCACACCTTGGGTTACATTAACGAAGTTTTCATACGGATCACTAACTTTTTGAAAATATTATATAGCCTATGTTCATCAATGATAATGTAGGATTCTAATGGTGAAAGAATTTTTCAAATCAGTCCAGTAGTTTCGCAGCCTATTCAATTCAAACAAACAAACAAACAAATCTTTGAAATTTTTTATATTATTATTTCAATATTTCAAATAAATTTGCCGGTGCAGTTAGTAGGATACGCGTGCCACCTATTGTAAGTTAATTGTACTATGCCTATAACCTACACGTAAGTACAACTCTTTAAGTTGACAAAGTTTTTCTGCTATCTTATGAATGGTATTGCAGCGCATGAAATACGAACAAACAAAAATTATTTTTTATATTGATAGAATCAGGCGTTACTTTGCGGAAATCCGTTATAATGGGATTGTTATAAACTAATTTGCTTAATTCCGCGTAAAGAAAGAAAATGATGTGTCCTGCCCAGTTTTAAGGGGAGCTCCCACCCTCCCTGAATCGCGCGCTATACCCGTAAAATAACTTGGAGAAATTAGAAGATCCACAATAACATTTCTCCTTTTTTTTTTAAGAATATAGTATTAAAAAATATGAATAATACTTTATTTCTGATGTCACTTTCGTTGTAATCAATAATACACTTTAACAACTTGTAAATAGGATTTCTTTAAGATGCTTGCCGCATTCAGCAAATTAATCGCAGTACCAAATAACATGCACCAAAACTGTAACTCCTGTCATTGCCGATTTATATATCTAGGCATTTATTAGCTACTAGCGATCCGCCCCGGCTTTGCACGGGTGATTTTTTTTGCATCTCTACAACAGCGCCACCTGTCGGGTTCAATTGAGTTTTTAAACTATCCAGGAAATCCTTGGATGCTTAAAAACTCAAATGCACACAAAAAATTCATCAAAATCGATCGAGCCATTTTCGAGTTTTTGCGAGACTAACGGACAGTAATTGATTTTTATATATAGAGATTAGTTCGTTGTCAGTGCAAATTAGTAAAAAGTTTTAGATCCATAATAAATTTGTATATTCATTCTTAGTTACCGCATGAATATGTAATACAATTATTCTATGATAGTACTATATATAATTATTGGATTTGACGGCCGTATGCTCGTTTGCCCCCTCTCTTATAAAAAAATAATTTAGTTGTAATCTCATGAATTATATAATATAATTATCTTCGAGCATTAATGTTCAATCCGGCAGGATTTCCAACGCAGAACTGTAACTTTTTAGTCAAGAATTCTAACCACAACGCAAATCGAAAGGAAGTAAATAACACTATAAAATGGTCAATTATTTTATCAATTTTCAACGTGTTAGAACCAAGCTGCAACTTTATTACGGTTGTAGCACGAATGGGTCGGCTTGACCAGAAGTAGAACACGCTCTCCCAGAATACCAGCCTAAAATAGCAGCTTGATGCTGCTGTGTTTCGTATAGTGAGTGTAGAGAACCTGAGACCCTTTTACTAGAAACGACGCATTCAATCTTACTATCCACTTATCATCAGGTGAACTGTGTGCTCGTTTGTCACCCTTTTTATATTTATATATCTTAAATGTACGAATTAGCTAATTAAGATTTATTTATTTTGAAATTAGGAAAATAACCTATAAAAAATATGTACTCGTAGCATTCTGACTAAAGCAAAAGATCAGATGGAACATTCTATGATTTTTGTTGATTGGGGTATAGTATACTAATTTTATGTACTTCTTTCGTCTTTAACGTCCTTTTTTTATCTACTGCTGAATTTAGACAATTTAAGAATTAACTAACTGAACTGCTTCATAATGATTTCTTATATTTACGCAAATACATACACATATTCGTATCATGTAATAAAGCTAATTTTAAGAATTTGATCGCGTTTACTTTAAAATTTTTGATTCCCTACGTTTCAGGTACTTTACATTATTACTGGGTATTGAGGTGTATAACGTCCTGATGCCCTAGTTAACCAAGCCTACTTTCAACTTTTAATTTTTAAGTTTGGGTCCGATCTACGCAGAACGAGCTTACAGTATCTTGAAGTCTTACAATAAAATTAAATCCAAGCCCAAGCATACTCCTTGGGCTTGGATTTAATTTTAATAACTATGGTATCCCAAGTAGATGGTAGCATTTGCCTTAATGAAAGTAGGAAGTTTTTTTTTTATTTCAATATCCTCGCCAATAAAATATAAATAAATAATAATATATAATAAATAAATAAAATAAAAAAAAATAAAAATATAAATAAAAAAAATAAAATAAAAAAAAATAATAAATGGCTCTACCATGTATAAAAACTAAGAGAGTTATTATTTAAGTTAATATCATTGACAATGTTTTTATTTGAACAAAGTTAAATTCGAAGTATGAACTTTTATAGCTTTTATAGCTTTATAAATGCTGATGATTGTAATTGAAGTTTAATTTTTTTTCTCATTTGACTTCATGTCATTTAATACTTGTAGTAACTGCACGACCGAGTTTTGCTCGGTAGAACGTTATCAAACTACAAAATTATTAAATCCAAATCATTAGAATGTTTCCAAGAAACCAATTAAATATCATATACAAAAACATAATATAATGTTCAAGAATTGCTCGTTTAAAGTAAAGTAAGTAAAGTACAGAATTAATAATTAAGTTCGCTCCATATAATTCAATTTACTGGCAAAGACAAATTAACAGTCAGTGTGATGACGATATTATGCGATAGATGTTTAATAATTGTCCTACAATAATGGCTAACGGATATGGTTTTAGTTAAGATTATAGTTACAGTTATTCATCCAGCCCACTATTACACTTAATTAGATGGCTCCAGGGCGCAGTGGCTTAGCAATGAATTATGAAGTTAAAGGCCAGGGGGTTCGAATCCCGCACGAAACAAGTATTTGTGTGACCTATAAGAAATTAGTCCGAGTCTGGATGTTTATCCTTGTGAAATTTATATTTATAAACTGCCTCTATGAAAAGAAGATCCTAGTGTCAGAGTTTTTTTATAGGATAGGGTGACAAACGAACACACAGTCCACCTGATGGTAAGTGGTTGCTGTGTCCCATTG